CTGGCAGGGGCTAGGTCCCAAAAATGCTGGATTTATGAGGTTATACTGTAATAAAAAGAACGAACCAAAAGTAAATTAAGTGAAGAACAGGTAAACACTTTATCCAAGGGATGCAATATTCAAGTGTCAGCCACTCTGTTCCAAAAAGAGAAGCAAAAAATCAGCAGGAAGGTCCTGCTGAGGCTCTGGAGATTCAAGTTTTCAGGTTAAAATGTACTATTTTCCAAAGCCATCAAGGTTTTGTATTGGGCAGGGAAAAGAAAAAAACCTAACTCAAAGAATCTTTAGCCCACTGAGAAAGAGCTCCCATCCCTATCCTCCCCTCAAACAAAGAGGGCAATTAAAGAGAAGACAGAGGTGGGCTTTTTTCTATGGCTGGAAGAGACAGGACTAGCAACAGTGGCCTCAAAATGTAGCAGAGAAAGTGTAGGCTGGAGAGAAGTTTTCCGATTGAAGGGTCCTATACATGTGCAGGTAGAGGCGCAATGGGATCCAATTCTATTCCGTCCAGGAAGGGCATAGAACTGCAGGCTTCCTCAGACTGAAGGGTGTTTGTACCCAAAAGGTTGCAAAGAAATTTTTCCAGCTACTTTAGTCAGCCTAATAAAAATGATAATCAGATTTACCTAGAGAATTGTCTGCCAATGGGATCCAATGCACAATCTACACAGCCATGCCACACTTGCATGGCAGGAGGCATCGTTGTGGGATTGTACATTAGATTGTTTCACCTTATTGCCAGAGCCAATCCTGGGCTCCCCCTGCACCAGCAAGAAGTGAGCTCCTCCAGCTGGGAGCCCCCTCAGTGGTGGGGCTCCAAGCCATGGGGACTCCATGCATAGCTAGGGCTGGGAGGCTGCAGCTGCACCCTACAGCTGCAGGACTCTGGGTCCCAGCAGCCATGGGGCACTGTTGGGACTGACAGTCTCCTCAATTGCAGGTCTTCTAGCCCCAGCTAGGTATGGGGCACTCCTGCAGCCGGGAGCCGGATTAGCCAACAGGGCTCCTAACTGCTGGGGAGACCCTGCTACACATGCAAGTTAAAGCTGGATACTAGCCAGCTATAAAGTTAGTACACCTTTGAGATCTAACCTTATAGCTTGTCAGAGCTTTTTATGGAAAAACTGGTACTTCGTGTGCAGCTGGTTTCAGTAAACTGCACAATTAACCAGTTCATTGAGCAATATCTGTAACAGAGGGCCTCAGGCTGGTCAAGCATTGAAACAAGCTACCTAGAGAAGTTGTGCAACCTCCATCCCTAGAAGTTTAAGAGCAGGTTGGACAGACACTTGGTTGGGATAGTTTAGTCAGAGATGATCCTGCCTTGAGCAGCAGCTGGATTATGCTTTAAAGTTTCTTCCAACCTTACTTTGTTTTGTTTTGTTTTTATGAATTCCTGAATCAATACTAGTTTTCCTTTGTGATGGTAAAAGACACTGATGCCACCAGTGCTCTTGGTAGAGGCATGATATCTTATTAGACCAACAAGGCTTCTGGGGAAAAAAAAAAAAAAAAAAAGTCTAAATGGCAAGCTTTAATGAGTAATACAGCAATAAACCTGTATACTTGACACTGATGCCAACAGCACTTGAAGACGAGAAAAAAAAAAGTCAGTATGATTGTTTTTTCCATGGCTGGTATAAGCTTGCAGGTCCATTTTGCCCCACTGGGGACATCAATTCCAGTATCCTGACCAAGTCTGTGTTGCTACATTCTGCCTGCAAAAATATCAGTCCTACAGTAGGTCTATTAAGATACAGTATTCTTCCCTTCACATCTTGAACTGGTGCACAAGTTGCCTGGCACTTAAGCAGCTAATATATGCTACACCACAGGGGGCTAGATCTCCATGGTGGGAATAGAGATTCTTTTCTGTGAAGCACTTTACAGTCCTTCAGGATACAAGTCTCTATATAAATGTATAGTGTTGATAGTGTGTCTGTTTGAAGGGAAATAACCCAGCTTGAGATCCAAAATAGTGTGTGAAAAGCACTTATTTCTTTTCTTCATTCATTTGGTTGCTTTCAAGGATTCCTGGTTTCAAGCTCTAAGCTGGCAAAAATTCTTAAACATTTTGACGGGTTTGTTTGCTCATCTGTCAATTTATGAAGCAGAATCATAGTCCATAAACTTATGCACTGTTCAGTGAGAACAAGCAACAATCTGCAGAAATGAAAACAAATCCATTTAATTTGCTTATTTAAGAAAGTTTACTATCAGAAGTGCAGATTTTCTCACTTTGGAGTAGATGCCCTGCTGGGCCAGAAACAGCAAGAGACAAACCAGAGAGAAAAAGCAATTGGTTTGCTTGGCTCCAAAAACCTGTTACAGGCTGAACTGCAGAAAATAAATCCCCAACTCAAGCCAGGACTTCAGTAAACAGTTGTGTATTTTAAAGCCAGCCCCAAAGACTAATTCTGACTTATGTAAAGAAGTTTTTTAGAAAAAGAACTTGCACAACTTGAGTGATAGTACAGAGGGGTATTGCTCAGAACTGCCAACTGTAAGAAATCAGTACAGAGATTTGGAACATCTAAGACCATAAAGCTCCAAATGTGTGGAGTGTTTGCTAGATGGCAAGGTGGCATTTACTAATCTCGTGGACCAGTCCATTTTTATCTATTCAGAATTCATATCAATCACCCGGCTACAAATACAGCAAAAATGGATCATTTTAAAGTAGCAGTTCCTATTTATCAGTGTTAGAAACAAAGAAGGAGGATGTTGAAAAAGACAGCAAGTACACAGTGACAAAATTTATTTTCTGGAGTCTTGTGTTGCAATTAATATTCATGGGGGTATTTTGGAATGAGACAGAGCTACCACCACTTTTTAGTGTCAGATTTATAGCTTCCTCAGGAGTCAGTTCATACAGTTACAACAAAAGAATCTTTTAAATTAAAAAAGGAATGGAAAAGGGAATGAGATACAGATTGCTACATATGGAACAACTGCCATTTGGGAGCCCCAAAGGCCAACAGTATTTAAGTCTCAAGCATTATGCAAGTCAAGCGTCACTTTCCTTATTTTAGTAAGAATAATTTCCAAAAATATTTGGATGTTTATAATCTTTCCTTCCCCACTGTACACTTTCATTTCCATCCTGACCAGAGAGATCTGTCAAAGCCATTTGCTAGCTACTCAATGAAGAGCAGAGCCCCACTACTATGCTGACGCTTAGTCAGGTAAATTCACTTTTTGCACATCCCCATTTCTACCCAGAGCAGAGGCATTAAGTTGTTTTTCCTCATATAAAAAATGGGAATCATAGGCAGGGTGTATGCTGGAATGGGATCTTCCCATATATGAGCACACAAGACATGGGGAGTCTGCACTGGAAATTGACCATTGGAAAGGGAGAGAGTAGAAGATGATTTTAAAGGCCTTTGGGTCTCTCAGATTGCAAGAGAGGAGAGTCTTGAGCATGCCTGTTAAAAAAGGGTCCAGAAAGATCTAGTAGACAAAAGGACACTGAACCCTACAGAGAACAAGGATGTGTAGACTTTGACAGCATGCGGGAGTCAGATTTAGAGACTAGTGAGGAGTGCCATCCCTAGAATAGCACAAGCTGAGTATTTTAAACAGGCAGGCTCTGAAGTGTTTTGAGAGGTCATCCTCAGTCCCTTGTATTGGAGGTGTTCCACATAATACATGGAGGGGGAAGGACTCTCGCCTGATGGTTTAGACACTCAGCTGGGTGGGGAAGAGCTGGGCTCCAACACCCACTCCTGTGAATGGCTGTGGTTACAAAGTGGAACAAGGTTGTTGGTAGGACAACTAAAAAACCAGAGGCGTTTCAGTTCAAATGCACATTGCTGCAGTTTTCCTGTGTGCCGACATGCATTTTGCTGCTTATACGACTGCACATGACACTGCGTAGTGCATGTCAGCTCACTGGATCACTGGCGCATTGGAGCACAAAATGTACATGTATAAATGCACATTGACAGCCCCCTACTCCAGAACGGCTTCTCGTCTGGTGGTTAATACTCTCTCCTCAGAGATGGGAGGTGTAGATGATTGCAATCCCCCTCAGCAGAGAAGAGAGTTTAACCCAGTTCTTCCATTTCTGTGGGGAGCCTTCTAGCCTCCGAGCTTCTGGATGCCACCCCCACTTTCTAGAGGTCCACTGGAGTCGGAAGCCATGGAAATGAAGAGCTAGACAAGCACCCAAAACGGAACATCAAGTTACACACTTCATTATGTGTACTGAAAGTTGTCAGCATTTTGTTTTGGCAAGAAAAGAAAATATGAGAAAAAAAAAATAAGAGAAGCCCCACACAGGATAGGTAGATTTCAAACCAAAAAATTCTCTTCATTATTTTGATTTCGGCAGTATAAGTCAAACCCTCAATCATTCATACAGCCCTCAAGGCACAGCCAGAGGCACAGCACAGGACCACCACTACAGAACTGAGCCCCAGGCAAGGCAACAGAAGGCTTGAGATAGAAACTAGTATCTGGTTCCTACTTTCTGGGCCCAAGGCTAAAGCTTTCTAGAGAGCTGCCAGAAGCTTCCCTTTAAAATTAGAAGGAGAAAAAGGTTGCTCCAGCTCAGAACAGAGGCAACAAGTAGGTGATAGACTCCATGCATTGAGTTTGTGGTTTTCAGTTTACCTAGGAAGGACTGACATGCTGCTTAGCTGGAATCCCAGACAGCAACAGAACCCAAGACACTGAACAGTTGCAGCCAAGAGATGAGACTGATTCTTCATGGGAACAAAGTAGTTAGCAGCAAATTCATGAACCAAATTCTCCTTTCAGAGATGGCACTTGCAGGCCTCCACCTTAGCATTAGCACCAAGGGAAGCATTTGTCCTTCTGACCATGCAGACTCCCAGCATTGCCTACCTACTGGGTGCAACAGCAGTTCAACAGTTTCTTCAACAATTGAAATGATAAGAGGCAGATGCTTTTGATGCTCCAAGTCTAAGATTCTCTCTGTGCTGGAAATCCATTTTGGTGGAGGGGGCCACTGCAGGAAAATGAAGTAAACTTACCTGAAAATGATGTTACTGTGAGAACTGATGTTCTTCCCTCCATAAACTGAAGGAATCCATGATGGACGAGGCCTCACTCCCCAGAGTTTGAAACACTCTTCAGAGAATGCCTGGAAATCCCACTTCTGAGGCTCAAACATGTCATTGACACCATCTGTGCACATGGGCATCACCATCTCTGTACAAGCCTATAAAGGAAGAGCATGGGAACAAGGAACAGGTAAATCACCTCTGCCAAGGACACTTTAAATATGCTGGTTGCAGTTATAGAAACAGAATAAAGAGGAAAGCTCCATGGATTCCTTTAATACTGTCAATGATTAAATAGGTATTTACTGAGTATTTAAATACAGATCATGAGCAGATCTTTTCACTGACTCAAGGCAGACTAGCTAGAGGACACATTGGAAGCAAATATTTTATTATGTCGAACCCACTTTACCATTTTCATATTAGCTCTTAGGCTCTAATATGAAAATGGTAAAGTGGGTTCAATGTAGTAAAATTAGGATTTGATAGGACTTAATATTTGGTCCCAATAAAAACCATGGACCAGAAACCAAACTATATGCCAAAATACCAGGGATCAGGGTTCTTCCTTGGGCAAACTACTTTCCTCTTATATGCCTAGTTCCCTGCCCATAGGCTGGAAAAGATGGGTAACATCTTTAGACAGACCACTTCACAAGGCAAGTAGTGCTATGATATTTTTATTACTACTACTTAATTAGATGTTCTCTGAGGAATTCAAGTAGATGGTTGTCAATGGGAGCTCATGTTTCCTTGAACCACTAGCTAACCTTGTTCTCGTGTCCCCTCCATCCTCCCTTCTCTTCTGCTAAGGCTTCACCAATACAGGCAAAAATAAATTTTTAAACTCATGATCTAGTTTAAATCTGATCTAACACAAACATTTGTTAGGAAGGCCAAGTCATCAAGTTAACCAAGTTAAAACTATTCACAACCCATGATCTCTAGCACAGCATTTCTCAACCCATGGGTCATGACCCAAAGGTGGGGCACAAGAATATGAAAGGGTCGTGAACAAATTTTAAAATAGATTCTCCTTTAAAAGGAGAAAGAGAAGAGTGGGAACTTGTGGCTTTTCCCTTGCAACTGGAAGACTTCCAGCCTGCAAGGAGCTGCTTGTGCCCTGCCCCCCTGCATACTGAGGGGCACTGGGTAGGGACTGGCCAATGTGTAGAAGTGGGTCCTGACAGAAAGAAGGTTGAGAACCACTACTCTAGAATACCTATATTTAGTTCTAGGTCATACTCATTTAGAGAGTCAGAACCTCAGCTGGTGGATACTGGCATAGTTTGCACCACATTAAAAACATAACTTGCTGATATAATTTCTGGTATCTGGTCCCTTGTATTAAATAGAACAGTTCAAAGTATCTGACAGCAAGAACTGAGAATTTACATCAGCTCTGGTGGGGGAAAAAAAAAAAAAAACACCAAGCAAACAAAAAACCTCCAAGGTCAGACATTTTGGAAAGGTTTATCAAGCATTTACCTGATAGTACCAGCCCGCTTCCCCAAGGTTCTTTGTTGCAGTATGAGATATGTTGAAGCACGATGCAACTCCCGAGTAGTTGTAGTAGATATTTAATGCCTGGAAAATGTTCTGTAGTAATAATTTGTCCGACAAACTGGGATCTTTCAGGAACTTGCAAGCCACCTACGGCAAGAAGAGGGGGAAAAACGTCTGTAATGAAGCTCCTGATACAGACTGAAGATCAAATTTAACAAGTCAGGGAAGGTGCAAGTTTGTTACTGTCCAGGGAAATGGGCTCTAATCCAAAAGTGAGGAGGAGATCCCAAGAGTTACCATATTAGGAATAAGTCACAAAAATAAAATCACCACACTGAAGATCTCTCATTTAAACTGATACTATTTGTCATCATAGTGGTGTGGGGTTTCTCTTATTTATTCAAATCTGAAAGACATGCTAGAAGGTGGCAGAATGCATTATACTGCTGCAGAATTCCAGAAGCCTCAACTATGGTTAATTACATACATATGGTTGATCACATTTAGGTTCATCCCTGTAACTATATCTATCCCCTTGTACAAAGAGAAGTCAGTAGTTTCCTTGACATGGACCTCACACCTTGGAGGACCTTAAAATGGGGTTGGGGCCTATATGTAGAAGGTGATGGACCCATTGGGCAGCTCTGCACCAAGTGAGGACTGGATTTGAGCAGGTGGAGCACATCCAGAGCCCCCACTGCCCTTGCTCCTTGTGTGCAAGAGTGGCATGACTCCTGTCAAAGAGCCAAGACAGCCCCACGGCTAATACAGCTGAAGCATAAGAGCATGAGCAAGTCTCTCAACTCCGGAAGATCCCCTAGGATATAGGTGGCTTGGGGACAGGCTCTATAGCTTGTAATAGGAGGTCAAGTGGCAAATCCTGTCCTATCCTCCCTGCAAGAAGGCTCATGGAGAAACTCTGGGAGGGAATACTCACTGTTTCCTTCTTGTTCTTTTATGGATTTATACTGGGCTTGGGAGGGGCCAACAGACTGCTACAATTCCTCCCCCCCAAAAATGCTGAAAGCAGCTCTAGTTTTACTGAAGCCAAGGAGAGCTGCTGCTAGTAGTCATCAGGATTTGCCATCTTAGATTTGGGCAAAACAAGCAGTAAGCGCCCCTATCAAGAAGGTGCTTTAGCTAATGGGGTAACTAATACAATGCAGGATGCTTGTGAAAACAAGGCAGTTTGCACAGGTAAAAGCAACCCCTCAGTTCTCTCTGCAGTCTTTGCATCAGCCTGCTAACTTGGGTGGAAAATATCTAAGTTTTCCACAATGTGTTAGTTACCATATTTTCTGCTGTATAGGACACCCATGTATGAGACACATGCATACCCCAAAACACAAAATGCTAAAAGCTAACATAAATCTAACTGAATTTTGTAATAAAAGTGACCCAACAATTTCAACTATTTTCATTACATAATTCTGATGTGTAATTTTAGACTTCTAGGGTGAGGTGGGGGAGAATGCATCTTATACACAAGAACAGAGTTGCATACAAGCACCCCCCCACCCGCTTTCTGCCTTGTGCAAACCAGGTCAAAGAACAAGTTAACAAATACTCTATCATCACTTTAAAAGGGCTTTGTCGCTTGGCTAGCTCAGTAAGCAATTCTAAACAGTTACAGGCTCTCAAAAGGTCACTCCTAGTGCTAGTGTGGACTGCTGAAGGTAAAAGATAAGGGAATAAAGAGCTGCAGACAGCTCTACCTCTGCAGATCAAAACAGGGGTAGAGGCAGAGAGAGCAATCACTCCCCAGAGGGCACCTTCCTCCCACATTAGAGAAAGGATTAAGCAGATACATTCAGCTACTCTAACAGATTTTCTTCCCCTAAGCTCTCAATATCCTTCTCACCCTCACTCAGATAATCACATTAGTTTTGTCATTAGAGCTCCCATTTCAGAGAAGGTACCTAAACAGCTTAGAACCACCCTGAGAGGTCATACGTTAGAAGTGCCAGAACAAACAGAAGGATTTTCTATTTCACATCTTACTGAGTCACTGCATCTTGCTCAAACCTTTGAGCTCCCTCTAACAATGATGCAAAAGCAGATTCCAGGGTAGGAGATCAGAAGGTAAAGTGCATTCCTCCAGCTGTTTAGATTGACAACAGAACTAAAATAGCACAGAAGGCATTTATGGAGATGGGACAGCTATACAAGACAGGTGAATTTCCTTCCCCTTTCTATTAGTCAAGTCTAACCAAGACATACAACAATTTTTCTGTTTGGCACTTAAAGTTTATTACAGGACAATACATGTTCTGATTTCTCTCAATTTCACCTTTATCATCCGTATTACCCAGCAGTTTCAAGCAACAGAGAAATTTGGTCACGGACTAACAAGGGAAAAGCAAGGCAATGTTCAGGATACTGTAAGTATGCTGTGTGTACAAAGTAAGCCAATTTTATTTCAAGGTGGAAGTGGAGTAGACAAAACATACTGCCTTACAGCACTGCAAGTCATTGTTGCAGGGTTAAGTTACCCCTGAGAAAAAAAAAAAGTGAGGAATAACTGCAGGCTGGTATACCAGTTGTGCATCCCTTCCTGTAGTTATTTTCTCCTCTTACTCAGTTCGAATTGGCTTCCCTGCCACCTTGTGGCCAGATGCTCCAATAGTGCCTACTGCAGACAAAGCTACCTTGGGAGAGCTGGTTGTAGATCTACTCACTACAGAATCAAAATCTGGGGCAAGCCTGCAGTAAATCACACTGTGTGCCTGTACCCTTAAGAGGGAAGTTACTTAGGACGA